TGCAAAGCAAAGAACTTCATTCTCTGCATAGTTATTCTTTGTTATCACAGGCTTCCCCATACTTTCCTATACTCCTGATACCGTCTTTGTGAGATGGATTTGTAGGACATCCTCTTAGTGAGGCCAGAGGACACCTCATCACTCCTCGAATGGGCGCCTGCAGCCAGTGTGGTCCCGGGTCAGCGTGTGGTCTGGTTTTCAGGCCTGAGCTTGGTCGTGGATGGGGGATGCTGTCCTGGCCGCCACGCAGAGGGAGCTTGAGCCCAGAGCTTAGGCAGGGCGTGGGAGCTAGGTTGGGGGAGAGAGTCAGAGCAAGCTCTACTACCACCTAGGCTTTGTCATCCTCCTTATTTAATGTTGGTGTTTGGCTCAAAATTCTTTCTGCAGCAGGTAAGCAGGAAACAGGAGAGAATGAGATGTAGGTGGGGATATGTTTAAGCCTAGAGGTGTCCCTAGACCCAGGCAAGGATTGTTGGGGAATTTTTCACCCTTTAAGCATTTGTCATGGATCTTTGTGTCTGTGTGTCCCATGATTCATCCAGTATTAACTCCGTAGATGGCTTGCTGGCAGCTACTGGGCACTGCCTGCATTTTGAGCCACGATTGCATGGCACTGACCTGTCTCTGGGTCGCAAAGCCACGCATAGCCTTTCTCAGCGCAGTGTAGGCGTTGAGAGCTTGGCCCTTGGGGAGAGGCGGACTTGAGTTTAAGTACAAGCTGTGTGACCTTGGTAGCTTCCTGAACTTCTCCAGGCCTGAGCCCACCTGTGAGGCAGTGGGAACCATGCCCCTTCCCTCGTAGGCTATTGTGAGGATCATATGGACGAAGCACGAGAGGTGCCCCTGTGCAGGGCTTGGCACATGGTTCTCACTCGGTAGATGGTGACAACTGGTACTGTTTATCACTGTGGTTCTGTGGTTCCAAGACCAGGGAAGCCCCTGGGGAGGGAGGGGGAGGTCTGTCTTCTTGCCAGCCTACCTAGTTCTTCCACTTCGGCTTAAAGTGGAAAGGCCACAGTCTTGGAAAGGGGCGGCGCTCCACCCACGGGGCCGTCTGGTCCTGCTGCTGGGTCAGAGTGCATGCTGACTGGTGAGCACTGGAGAAGGCTGCGCCCTCCCTGCCTCCAGAGCCAGAGTCCTGACCATTTCCTGAGAAGGGAGGGGGAGTCCTAGGGCAGGAGGTCCGCCATGGAGGGGCCTCGCGAGCAGGTGCCGTGCTCTCCCCCCTGCCCCATCTCTCTCCGCCCCACGCCCTGGGAGGTATTTCAAGATCCTTCTACCAGACCTCCTTCTACAAGAATAGAGGGTGGCCTGGACAGCCATACCAAGTAAAGCTCCCTGGGTGAGGCTGGTGCCCACCTGGTCAAGAACCGTTGCCATAAAGAAATTCTCCAAATGAGGAAACCGAAGCCCTGAGAAGGAAGAGGCAGGCCAGCCTCAGGCACACTGAGTCATGACGGGGCAGGGACTGGAATGCAGGTCTCCTGGCTCCTGGCCGAGCATTTTCCTCTCACCACACTCATTCTTTTACCATATTTGCTGTTCCTCGTGGTGGGGTCAGAAATAGCCAGCCCAGACTTGGTGAGCCTGGACTCTCAGGGGAGCTCAGCCCTGCCGTGGTCCAGTGAGCGGCAAGCTGCCGGCATTCTCAGCTCCAGGGAAAGCTTTTTCAGAATAAAGCAAACAGAGGCTTGGGATTCCAGGCTGCGACCTGCCGCATCCCTGCCCATTGCATGGTGCAAGTGAGGCTTCACCCTCCTGGAGCCCGCTAGTCCCCTGCTCAGCAGGCTGACTCATCAGTACATATGGCAGCGCAGCTTCCAGGAGAGCCCAGGGCGCTCTGGCAGGCCCCAGGTCACCACTTGTCCAGTTTTACTTACTAGGATCTGGATTCCTGCAGGTGTGGCCGCCACTGTAACAGTATATGCCACATTTGGTATTCCATTAATACCATATGATCCTGATACTATAACATCAGACCCTCAGCAGGTGCTACTGTGAGCTATTTGCTTTCCTTGAACTGTCCCATTAATTCCCTCAATACCCTGAACAGTAGGTATCGTTAGTCTTGTTTTACTGATGACAAACACAGGCCCAGAGAGGTTAGGTGGCTTACGTGAAGTAACACAGCCAGGAGGCAGCAGAGTTGGAATTTGAACCCACGATGTTCAAATGTGTAGGGCCTGCACTGTTGCCTACTTCTGTTTCCTACTTAAATAAGTAACCTTCCTCTGTACCTTCACTGCCTCAGCTGTGACTTGAACACCCAAGTGGGACCCAGGAGCCTGATCCTGTGAGCAACAGTCTTGTAAATATCTAGCATATGACTGGAAATTATGTCTGTCACAACTGGTGGGTTTGGGAAACAGCTCTGTTTATCGTGGCTGTCTTCCTTAGAAACCACAGTGGTTGCCAGGTCCATTGGTCTGTCCTAGCTCATGTCCTGCAATAGCATGGCATCAGCGCCTGAGCTGGCGTCCCTTCACGGATGCCTGGACCTGGGTGCACAGCCTCTCTCTCAGAGTGTCTTGGTCAGCAGGGAGCAGAAGTGTTAGATGCAGGGCCTTCCACTCCCTCCCTCCCACATCCGGTGACCTGCAGGGCCTTAAGCCCTGTGCTGTCAGTCACCCTCCCCCCCATCCCCCCCACCAGTTTCCTTTGCTGTGACAGGAGACCGTGAAATGTCCCTGGAAGAATTCTCTCTGGTCCTCAGCTTTGTTGCCTTGGCCCGCCCATCTCCCCAGCCAACCACCAAGGCGGGCTCACTGGCCCGTCCACTGCTCTGCACAGGTGGAGGAGTGCACCCCCGCCTTGTAGAGGGGCCTCCACAAATGCAGTGACCTCGACTGGGCTCCTGTTCTTGGCTCTCTGCATCCTTTGTCCAGAGAGAGTGTCCCAAAATGTAGGTGTGGGTAAGGCACCAACCAAGAAGGACAGCTGTTATCTTCTGTGTCTGCTTTCAACTTTACTGTCAGCCCAGCCCGTCCCCTAGGCTCTCCGCAGTCTGGCTGCACGTGTCTGCTGAGCCTTTGTACCTGTTCTTCCTGAGCACTTGCCCCACTCGGCCTCTCCACTCTTGCCCCTCCTGACCCACTTCAGGCCTCTGCTTAGACAACACCTCCTTTGGGAATCCTTTCTGTCACCCTTGTCCCTGCCCTGCCTCCGTCTCAGAGAGAGCCCTTCCTTGGTTGTGGCCATGGCAGCCATGCATATGGTGCATATCCAGACATGAAGGCTTGAAATCCGGTAACAAAAATGTGGCACTCGTCTCATTTGTCAGGATTTATTTCAGCAAGCAAAAATCAGAAGAGACTTTTGAAGCACTTTTATCATTGAAGCGGTCTAAACTATCAGTGCTGTTCTTTCTCAGTTATTCAGAGAATTGAGTGTTCACATTCAAGATGTATCTTGCTTTTTTGGGAGGGCCGCCATTCCCATAGGACGGCAGTTTTAAGGGGCAGGGTGCAGCGTGAGTGGTCGTGTGATTGCCCACGGGCAGCGTGAGCAGGAGATGCACACGCAAAAAGGGCCTGGTACACGCAGATGAGTGAACCTTTAAACCTCAGTGACTTAGATATCTGATAGTATTATTATCCGAAACTTAGATGGTCTCGGTTTTAATACCTTGTCTTCCGTGAAGGCTCTCCCATCCCATCAGGAAGAGCGCCTGCCCATGTCACTGCTTGTACACCTGTACCCTGGGCACACTTAGCGCTCAGGGAATGTATAGCTCCTGGTCCAGTGCCTTTCCCTGCGGGACGGCAGCCACCCTCAGGGCAAAGACCACAGCTGCCATGGTCACTGCTGCATCGCAGGGCCTGGCCCGGAGACAGACTTGGAAAAACTGGATGACGTGATTTAAAAAATAACAAGACTGTCTTTGAGGTCATTGGGTAAGAAAGCCTTTGCTGATCTGCCGCTTTAATTTTGCTTCTTCAGATGTCACGTGTGTGCGTGAGTGCACTGCAGCTCTGGATGGGGGTGCTACAGCCTCCTGATTTGGGGAGTCAGAATTTCCCGGAAATATTTCCTGGTCTCCCCTCATGGTTTTTCAGAGAACGTTCTTGCAGAACTGTTAGTTGCTGATCACCTAGAAGATTAATTCAGGAATCCAGGAATGTCTTTTGGAATCTTAAAGTTGATTGCTCCCCACTAATCATGAGCCAGAGGAGGGAGAGAGGAAATTTTGAACCTTCACCACCCATGGTCCCATTCTTAAATGAAACCTAATTGAATGCTATTAAGCAAAATTAATTTGCCTCCTGCCGGAAGGTTTATGATGAATGAAAGGCTTGCTAATCGGTGAGGGAGCCAGGCTACCCTCTGTGGTCATCAATATTTCATGGCCATAGGCAGTGGCAGGAAGCTCGCTGTCCCGGCTCTTTGACCTTGAACAATCATGAAGGTAGGACAAAGCCAGGGAAGTCGTATTTAAAGGGCTTGTTACAAGGCACTTAGTGAAAACCTAAGTGAAATTTGCAAGATGTGCCCCTGGGTTAATTGAATTTACACCCTGAGCTAGTGGGAGGCTCCCCCAGATGGGTGAGACCTACCTGAGACTGGTGCTAGTTGGAGGTGAAGGGCTGCAGCTCTTGTCAGCCCCAGCGGCAGAGCTGAGATGTTTAACAGTGGCTTTTAGGGAGCAGAGGAGTCCGGATCTCTGGTGTCTGTTGATTTCTGTGGTGTCTGTATATGCCCAGCATGGCCAGTTTAAAGCTGCTGAACTTGGAGGTGGGTGCTGCACAGGTTTGTGGGTGCAAGCCACCGCAGCACCCCACTGGGCTGGGAACCCAGCCTGCTGCCTTCACAGCTCCCCGGTTCTTCCTGGTGACCGGGGGAGATCATGCCAAGCAGTTTCATGTCCAGAAATAATAGATGTGCCCCTGGGTACTGCTCGTCTGCAGCAGACTTGGCCTCTTGACAGAGGGTGCCTGAATGGGACTTGCTATAAAACTGAGAAAAAAAGTTAATGAGGCTTTCATTTTGTTCTTTCTCCCTAGCTGCCATTAACTTAGCAAAGCTGAAACTTTTCAGACATTATTACGTCCTGGTGAGTAAAAAAAAAAGCCTGTATCTATAAATAAGATCAAGGAGTCGAACAAATGAACTCCCAAGGAATTGGTGAGAGCACAGAATGTGCTGCCTGGAGCTGTGGGTTTCAGTTACCAAAACCAAGTTGTGCCTTTTGCTGTGCAAAATTCAGTAGCAGAGTGACTTCTTTTTCAATTTTAGTTTGAAATTTGGCTTTAAATACTCAGAAAAGTAGTACCTACTTCATATTTTTTGACCTGTGGGAATTATAGAGTCCCAGGCCACGCCCGTGTGACCCTGATCTTTAACACCCTCCCCCCTGGCTCCCCACAACTGCTGTGAACAGGTCCCCGGTTCAGTCTCTGGATTCTCTCCTGGGCAAGTGCCATACAGAGCTGCTCCTTTGACTTGCTTTTTTATTCATTTACAAAAATGGAATCAGACCTAAAAACCAGACTAACAGACACAAAAAGTCCATATAAGTAAACAGCAAGGCAGGACTTGCTGTAATTTATTAGGATAATAATTTCTTAGAATATGTGAGGAGCAAGTCTTGTAGAGTTTGGTTCCTGACTCTTTTATGCGTGACCTTCTGTGGTCTTGACATTGACTTTCACTTGAAACAGTCCTTTCCTGCAAGCCTGGCCACCCTGCGCGTGGTCCCGGTTAGCAGATCACGCTCAAGTGGCCATCATATTGAATCCTTGTCACATCCACCCTTACTGGTGTTTTGGTACTGCCACTGAGTGTGGACTTCGAATGTTTACAGCATCTGCTGAAGAAACTTAAAGTCAGTATTTTCCCTGTATGGCTTTATTTTGTTAATTACTACTGGAAAACATTCCTTAAAGTCTGGGCATAAAAAATACTACCCTTTGGGGAATGAAATCGATGGGTTAGTTATGTGGCTAGGATGAGGAAAGGGTTACTCAGGAGTTAGAGCAGTTAGACCGAAGTGTTTTGACCTCCCTGTGTTGTGTGGTCACCTAGAGATAAATCCTTTCAAGTCTGCTAGAATAGCCATCTCTTTGCTATACTTACCATTAGCACTGCAAGTGTCAGAGAATTTTCTTCAGTCAATTCTCTTTTCTCTTTCATAGTTATTTGCGAAAGCCAATTGTGGGAAGAAAGTGGTGCATAATTTCTGTGTGGATTTTCTTACCTCTTTCCTCTTCATACAGATCGTATGTTACATATACTTCACCAGGATCATTGCATTTCTCCTCAAACTTGCTGTTCCATTCCAGTGGAAGTGGCTCTACCAGGTAAGCTGCTCACGGAACAGCATGGGAGAATGTAGATCTGAGAATAAAGTCTTGGGGTGTAACTTAAGGTTGTTACTGATTTATCTGGCAGTGGCCACTAAGACCTTCTGTCTCTTTTGTCTACACTCAAGATTATCCCTGTGTTGAGGAAAGCTGCTGGATTGCATGAGAAACCTGGAAGTAATTGCATTATTGATTGTAGTTTTCAATTTTTAAAAGTCTTTGAAGAGAAAAGCCTCAGGCAGAGAAATATTTGCCCTATATAATTAAAATCTAGATGAGACATGGTCTTTCCTTCTGTTACAGGGCTTAGAATAGCTTAGAATCCAGACCTCCCTTTTTCGAAGCCCACTACTACTATTTCAATAGTAATGTGTCCTTGCAGTGCACTAGACCTAGTTTAACTACTAGGGTAAACTGTCAGATGATCTAGAGACTTTTTTTTTTGAAGCACTCGCTTGTGGCTTGGCATTATAGGAAATGTGGGTATATAATGAGCTCTTGAAAGATGAGTAAAGAGGCTGGTTAAAGCCTGGAGTCTTAAATGTCATCTCTGGGCAGAATGCTCCTAGTGAGGCTTCAGCAAATTTTCTAAGGAAAAGCCTCCCTCGCTGTCTCAGCAGACATTTGTGTGAGTGATAGGAAAGGGGTGGGTGTCGGGCTTTATCAGTCTGTTTAGTTCCACTGCTTTCTGAAAAGCAACGTTGCTAATCCCTTTATTTTGGGGTGGGCCTTAAATTTGCAGCTCCTGGACGAAATGGCCACGCTGGTATTCTTTGTTCTAACGGGGTATAAATTCCGCCCAGCGTCAGATAACCCCTACCTACAACTTTCTCAGGAAGATGACGACTTGGAAATGGAATCTGTGTAAGCCATCTCCTTTTCCTCTCTACCTTTGCCCCTTTGCCTAACTGAAAGCAGCACGGTGTGAAATGGGGCCTCTGTACTCCACATTTTGTTCCTCCAGAGGTGGTACCTCTATTTTTAGCAGAAGAAAATGGACATTCAAGCCATGGGCTGATTTACTCAGTTTGAAATACAGCATCTGCCAAACATCACTCAATCTTTTCAGAGAAAGTAGAACTTGCCACCCTAGTGAGTCATTGGAGCCTGCTTCTGGTAACTCAGTGGCAGGAAGCTGGGGGTATCCTTGGCCTGTAACACTATGGAACACGGGCGACCCCACCTCCTGGCAGTCCCCTGCCATTGGGAGCTTCCGCTGAAAAATAATCACCCGAGTCATCTGTAAGTCTGCTGATTATCCTCAAATGTCACTTACCATCACGTAACTGGCTTTTCACAGCATAGTGACTTGCCCTGTATCTGAGCATTCAGATGGGCTTCTCTGAATCACAGGGTAAGTGACTCTAGGGTCTCTATTTTCTGCGTAAGGGCGGTCATTTTCTAGAAGAGTGAATAGTGATTAAGCCTATTTACTTGGTGACCGGTGAACTATGATGGGGCAGGTCAGTCGTGTTTGATGATTGGCCTAAGGCTGAGGATCCCCCTTCTTGTTCCACTTGTTCCTAGTTCAGAGGCCACGGCCTCGCCCACGCTGGGCTCTCCTGGGCCGCCGGGCAGGTCGGCAGCATGGGACAGCTCTTTGTGCTCAGCTCCATTATGGAAACAATACACGGGAGGCAGGGCCTGCTGAAGGGCCCCAAACAACTCTCCCTGTGCAGAGGAAGCAAGTGCCCCTCGATAGCTGGTGGAGGGGAGAGCGGGAGAACCAGCACATGTGCCTTTTCTAGAAGTAGCAGAATCTGAGCAAGTGACTATTGCCTGGGGTGGCACAAAGGAGAGTCCATCTGGTAAGCAGCAGCGCCAGGAAGTGAGCTCAGACACGGTGTCTGTGCTGTGCCCTGCTGGGCAGCCTCCAGCTTGTTCTCCCGTCGTTTACGGCAGGATTTCTCTGGATGAGCAGCTCGGAACAGAATGGCTGGGTCAGAGCACTTTCCACTGTACTGAATCTCACTCCCAGCGGCTGTATCAGTCGGCTGCACAACAGCGCTGTAGGAGCTCCCCTTCCCCGTGTCCTTGCCTTGAGCCATTGCATCCAGAAGCATGAATGCAGTGTGAAGATATTTTTGTCTCACTGCAAAATTTTTTAAGACTTTGTTTTTTTTGTTTCTCTCTGGCAGTTATTTGAGGATAGTGGTAACCATATTAGCAAAAGGGTCTGTATGTGTTAAAATCAGGGGTGGGGGGTGTGGAACAGGTGGGTGTAGATGGACAGACCATCAGTCTGTCTAGTGGAGACTAGAGAGTGTGTGTTCTTTGTTCTCTCAAGATTTGGGCAAGCCTGGAATGCTGAGTCAGGAGTTAGCCTTTGGTTGCCTCAGTTTATACTCCTGTTACAAGGGGACGGGTTCACCATCTTTGCAGCGGCTGGTGTTACATGGGCCGCACCGTAGCAGCGAAGTGGGCTTCTCTTCGGTGGCTAGAACAAGAGTCAAACTAAATGAAGGTTTTATTCAGGGTGGTGGTGTTCCCAGTGAGCACCAGCCCAGTTTAGCCTGTGGAAGAGAAGTTCAGGAGCTGTCTGAGGCCAGATGCTTGAGGCAGCAGAGAGATTGTTCTGAGGTTTCTCTTTGGCTAAGAACCCTGCTGTTGAGAAAGTTCGTTGAATTTACAAGATGTGACAGCAGAACAGGCCTGAGGTGGAGGCTTCAGTTGTCAACCTGACATCCTGCGGGTGAGTGTGACGGCTACCTGGAGCTTCCTGGGGGCGCCTCTGCGCCCTGGGCTCTCCCTCCTCTACTCGGAGGCGCTGTTCCTCGATGGCACCTCCTGATCCTCCAGAAATGACCCAGCCAGAGGCGGGCAGAGCCCTTGCCTGTGTTTTCTAGAAGGCCATGAACCTCTGTCATCCACACTGGAGGGTGTTTCTTGAAGAGGGAGCTAGGTCTGATGTCTGCCACAGAACAAAGCACCTCCTTATGCCTCCCACGCCCCAAAACAAATCCACCTTCTCGCTATCATTTTCTCCATTGGGAGCACACGGACTCTAACCTGATGGGCTGAGAAGCTGGGTGCTTCCGCATCCACCTGTTCTCACCTCCTTTATCTGAAGCTGCGCTGTGGGAGTGCAGCGCGCGTGGGAAGCAAGTCTGGCCCAGGCCTGCGCATGGTCCACAGCGCCACCATCCCTAGCAGGCCTAATACGGCTTCTGTGTATGAGCCTGCCCCTCTCGGTCTTTTTCTCCATTTCTTTCAACAGCTCTATGGCCGTAAGTTCAAAGAGACTTAGCAGTTTGGGTAACACTTTTTTTGAAAAATTCAAGGTAAAAGGTATTGGGTGTAATTTCAATTACAGACTTGGCAGCTGCCCTATGTGCCATGTATGTCCTCAGTGATCTGAGTTGTTTTCTGTCATCTTGAGAAGCAAGTGTGGGAGGAGCGTTTGGTGTGAGTCCCAGGCCCAGGCAGTGTCTCTCTGGGGTTCCCATTCCAGAAGGTTGGCCTCCAGGTTGCCCTAGCCTTTCACTGCTTCCCGCAGTCCTTCAGAGGCAGGCAGCAGCAGTGGGGGCAGGGCAGTCAGAGGCTAATAGAGTTGTCTGGTAAGCAGGCCTCTCCACATTGCAAGTCCAGAAAACAGGTTTTAGTTTGGTGATAATTTTATGGTTAGTTTGGCTACAGAAACAGTGTGTCTGTGGGCCACTTAAGCCCAAACCGTATTTGACCAGTCTGCTGTGACGGAAGGGGCAGTAGGTGCCTGGAGACCCTCTACCCATCCTATCTGTGCTCATTAGGCCCTTTTGGTTGCAAGCATGGGTACTTGGGGCTCTGCAAGGACAAGAGGGGCCACCATGTAGGCATAGAAAGGAGGTTGGGGGCAACCCTGGGTCCATGTGCACTCTCCTCTGTTAGTGCTCCCTGCTCCTTCCCTTGGGCCTCGCCCTGCCCCACTTCCTGTGTCCTGCGCTGGTTCCACAGGGGGTGCACCTGCTGGGCTCAGCACTCTTGCCCTTTGCCTCATTACAAGATGTGACAGCAGAACAGGCCTGGCCTGGAGCTGTTGGCCCTTGAGGCTAGTGCCCTCCTGAAGTCAGGCCAGCTTGGCTCTAAGAAGTGCCTCCCTGAGAAGACACCGGGGCAGGACAGCTTCTGGAAATGGGCACTGGGCTTGGCAGCCAGAGAGGCCAGCCTGGCCAGGGCACTCAGGCTGTTTGTGCCTCGCTGTGAATGGCTCTGCGGCAGCGTGGAGCTCTGGCCAGTGCAGAAGCCCTGCCTCAGAGCTCGCAGTCTGCAGCAGAGCAGTGTCGCAGCGTGTAGACAGTGCTGCATGGACGTGCCTGGAGCCAAGAGGAAGGGGCCCCGGCTCGGGCGAGAAGGAGCCAGTCAGGCAGGGAAGGAATGAGCAGAGGCAAAGGGGCCGGCTGCGCTCTCGCGACCTCACCCTCCGTGTCTGGACGTGAGGGGCGGTGGCCTGCAGCCGCAGAGGTTGGGTTTAGACTGAAACTCATTGCTGCGTGTCACCCAACTTGAGCTTGGGGACGCCTTCCCGTGCTGCATGTCGGGCCTTGGAGAGCCATTGCTATGGGGCAGAGTGCTGGCCAGGAGGTGGCTCTTTGGCTGTTGTCCCCTTCAAGTGTCTGCACCGAAAAGTAGGACATGCAGAGAGGTGCATGCGAAGCCCCACCTCTTCCTGTCCCTGCCTGGGACACTGTGGGGTGTCTGCCTAATCTAGTCCACCCAGAAACCTGCCCCTCTCCCCGGACTCTGGGTTGGCTGCGAGAAGCATCGCTAGCACCAGGCAGCAGGGCTGGCCAGGCTCCCCTGCAGCCCTTGGGCATCGGGCATCCTTTTTGCTTCCTGGGGTTGCTGGGGAGACAGGATGCACTGGCCCCAAGCATCACCGCCATGGTGCCTTGGTCTGCCCCCGCTCACTTCAGCAGCTGCCTGTGCCAACTTCGCTGGAAGTACAGCTGACCCAGGAGTCTGAGGGACTCCTCTTGGAGGAAAGTCCCAGCTCAGGAGGGCTGGGTGGCTCAAGGCTTGGTCACAGCAGCAGCAAGTGGTGCAAGCAAGGAAAAGCAGGGAGGATTCTCCTTTCCTTCGTCCAAAAAATCACTTATTTGCCATTAGGGCCAGCTAATGGCTTTCAGTGCATCATGTAGACGGCCACTGAGTTAACATTTGTAGGTAAAAGCATTTGGTAGTTGCAGTGAGGGGAGTAGTAGGTAGGGTCCTTGGGGAGAGTCTATTGAATTGATTGATTGAGTCTATTTTACTGATAAGAGATTCCTGTTGGTCCATGAGGGGCAACATTGGTGCCTCCCTGTTTCCTAGAGGGCCTAGGGAGATGCTGGGCTGGGTGTGTTTAACTGTTTTTCAGAGCAGTTTTAGGTTCGCAGTAAAATTGAATAAAAGGTGTAGAGATTTCCCACCAACCTCCTCTCCCCCACATGCACAGTCTCCTCCATTATCAACATTCCCCAGAAGGGACATTGGTTACACTTGACGAGCCTTCCCTGGCACACTGTTGTCACCCAGAGTCCACAGGTTCCACGGGGCTCACTCTTGGTGTCGTACAATCTGTGGACAAATGTGTAATGACATGTATCTACCATTACAGAATCATACAGAGTAGATTCCCTGCCCTAAAAGTCCTCTGTGCGCCCTACCAGGCAGAGCTCAGGGTCTCTGCTCGGGTCTCCTGCAGCAGAGCCGCCGGCTCCTTCAGACTTCAGACCTCCCTAGACTCTGTCCTGCTCACCTTTTGTTAGGCAGGAGGTTGTCTTCTCATAAACCCACCTTCTTGAGAGCTGCTGAGTTCGCTCTGTGCAGTGCTCATCCTCAGGCCCTCCGAGGCCAGCGTTGTTCCGCTTTTGATCCTCACATTCAGTGAAGGGTTCCGTGGCCCCAAGAGAGAATAAGGCCTCTGCCCTGGGGACCCAGAATGGAGGCAGGCCATGTGCCCTGACAGCTGCGTAGCCCGGGCCTGGCCTGCTGAGGGCAGAGCCTGGGTTTGCAGGAGGCAGCTGGTCCTCTCACCAGCGGTCGAAGAGGCTTTGGGCCCGGAAGCTTCCTCCAAATCAGTGGAGAAATGATCCACTGTGGCTAGTCAGTATGAAGGCTACAGCTGATGAGCTATGATACGGATGTGATCTCATACTCCCAACCAGCATGTATGTGCAGCATAAAAATGTGTGACAGCCATGACAAAGAGAGATTGGTGTTGATTGTATAACAACAGCAGCTATGTATTGATGCGGCACATTAGAGAATCATTTTTGCCTCATGACAGTTCTGGGAAGTGGGAATTATTTATTATTCTCAAGTACAGAGTGGTCAGATGGCTTGGCCAAGGTTACACAGCTAGTGGGGAGCTTGTCAGGAGTCAAACCCAGGTCTGATTCCAGAGGCTGTACCCTTTACCTCTGGGCTGTGGTGAAGATTGCCTCTCACTTTACTACTGAGATTTTCCTATTTGTTTTTTCCTTGCTCAGAGTGACAACATCAGGGGTGATGGAGAATATGAAGAAAGTCAAGAAGGTGACCAACGGCTCTGTGGAGCCCCAGGGCGATTGGGAAGGCACTGCGTGATGGGCACCCTGGAGGCTGGCGCTGTCAGAGGAAACACTTAATTTATTAGGAGTCTTGATGGAGAGCGAGAGCAGCTGGCACCTCCCGACAGTGACACCACAGAGCACGTGGCTGGGAACAAAGTGCCACGGAACCTAGTTTCTTACTCTCTTCTCTGGAAACCTGATCTATGGCTTGTTACAGGCAGTTTGAACCTCCTTCAGGTGGGGATGGTATGGAGGGAATAGAAAGGAGGGTGAAAGGAAGACTTTGTTTTTAATTTGTATTTCTTTTTTTTTAAATTGGGAACTCTTAAGGTATATGCAGTTGTGACCCCAAGCGTGTAGCAGAATAGGGAGGAATGTTGGGGGATGGGGGAGGGAGGCAGAGGTGTATATCTCTGTACAGGAGACACACCTCTGTACAGGTGTATATCATTGTACAGGAACGGGGCTTCAGTACATGAGCAGATGTCACAAGGACACAAGCCTTGCAAAGACAGGGAAGGGACAAAACCGAGGGAAATTAGGTTATTTTAGAAAGCAGAGTCAAAACCCACTTTAGTATGTAGAGCCTGCCCTAGGATTCCCGGTCGTAAATGTTGCCCCAGACCTTTATCCTGGATTCTGAAAGTGACCAGAAACCAGTAGCTCAGCAGCCCGGTGGCCTCCTAAAAGGACTCCCTCCTCAGAGGACTGGAATGTCCTTGTCAAAGGCCCTGGGACTGAGGTGGGAAATGGTTTTCTTAATTGGTTTGTCTTCTGTGTGGCCTGATTGGGCAGACAGGCTCAGGGCGTAAGCTCAGTAGGCATTCTCCTGTGGGGTTTCCCTGAGCACCCCGCTCCCTGACTGCCCAGAGCAGCACCCTCCTCACTCCCCTCTCTCCTCATGACGCTTAGAGCAGAAGATGGGGAGAGATGGGGAGGGATTTGCCTTAAAGGAGCATCTGGGGGCGGAAGAGGCCGTGCTGAAGCAAATACGTACATACAAGCCAGTCATTTCACAGGCTTTCCTGGGGGCCAGAGAGGATTTCTAAAGAGGAGCGAAACGGTCCTTGTCCCAGTGTTCCAAGAGTATGTATGCAAAGAAAGTCAGTGTGACGGAGAGTCTGACTCAGGGATTGGGGCCGGCGGAACACTCCAGACACGGGCGCGAGGAGCTCCCTGAAGTGAGCAGCACGCAGCTTGGGGCCGAGCCCTCAGAGGGACGGGACAGGCTCTGGTGGCCTGTTGCCGCCGAGGGCAGGGAGGGCTGGGCAGTACTTTGCCGCTGTGATTTTGGTCGCCTGGGCCTGAAACAGGACACACGCAAGGCTGCATTGGGGAAGCTCTCTGCAGCTCGGTGCCGGTCAGGTCAGGGCGCTTCCGCCTGCCCAGATGAGTCACAGGGCTGCACCTGCAGGGGCCTCCGGGGCTCCACACAGCCACAGTCTCTGGGGGTGGGTTTCTTGCCCCTAGATTGGAAGAGTCACTCAGAAACTCAATAGCCCGGGTTTGGGAAGCTGAAGGGTCTCTACTCAGGAACCAGTTGTTGTCCCTTCCTGTTCCATCTCCCTTCCAGAATCACATGAGGAATTGCGCGCTCTCTGTGCACTCCTGCTGGCCCTCTGCTGTGCCGGCCTGACCCTTCACAAAGGCTCGGTCCTGGCCGAGCGTGGAGTACGACCAAGCATCTGGCAAGACCGCTGCTGCTTGCTGTCCCACACATACTGGGGGGAGGGTATTGTGTGTCTCCCCATCTCCCATCTAAGTATTAATGTAAGGGACCTTTTGCTTTTTTTTTTATTAAGTGAATTTGGGGCTGTGTGACAGGAGAAGGAAGTTGCAGGGAAGATGAGAATGTTTTTAAGACTTTGTTTCCCTGTGCGTGAACAGTCCCAGCGCTTCAGAAATGTGTCTCATTCTGTGGCCAGATCCCCCTTAGGTGCTGCCCTTAGAGCGGCACGCTCACTGCTTGTCCTGCAGGCACATGTCCTTGACTAGGCCACAGCCTTCTTGGCAAGAACCAAAGTTGTGATGAAACCTCCCCTTTAGAAAGGGGCTATTACTGTAAGTGGCGGAAGGTTTGGTGTCAGGCTGATGATTGAGAAAGATCAAAAACCCCAGCCGAAGATTGGGAAAACAGGTGGTAACTCAAGTTTTTACAAAATGATTTAAGCTCTCCATCCTGTTCTGTCAAAATGTCTCTTCTTTCTCTATCCCCTAATAGCTGTGCCAGCAGTCAGTGCTGCTGTTGAGTTTAGATGGCAGTCCAGGGCCAGACAGCTCCCTCGCAGACCGCCGCTGCCCGCAGCCTGGCTCGGTTACAGTGCGGCCTGCCGGCAGCTGCAGCCTCAGTGCAGGGTGTGGGCCGAGGTGACTGGCCGCGCATCCCAGAGCGGTGGGTCGTGTTTACAGCTTTGCTCTGGGCTCCCGCTCCCTGGGTCTGCCTGCGCAGAGTTGCCGCGCTTCCGTTGAGAAATGTGCTGTGGCCTGGAAGTACTGCTGGCTGTAAAATTAGGAAGTAGCTGCTGTGCCGGCCTGACCCTTCACAAAGGCTCGGTCCTGGCCGAGCGTGGAGTACGACCAAGCATCTGGCAAGACCGCTGCTGCTTGCTGTCCCACACATACTGGGGGGAGGGTATTGTGTGTCTCCCCATCTCCCATCTAAGTATTAATGTAAGGGACCTTTTGCTTTTTTTTTTATTAAGTGAATTTGGGGCTGTGTGACAGGAGAAGGAAGTTGCAGGGAAGATGAGAATGTTTTTAAGACTTTGTTTCCCTGTGCGTGAACAGTCCCAGCGCTTCAGAAATGTGTCTCATTCTGTGGCCAGATCCCCCTTAGGTGCTGCCCTCAGAGCGGCACGCTCACTGCTTGTCCTGCAGGCACATGTCCTTGACTAGGCCACAGCCTTCTTGGCAAGAACCAAAGTTGTGATGAAACCTCCCCTTTAGAAAGGGGCTATTACTGTAAGTGGCGGAAGGTTTGGTGTCAGGCTGATGATTGAGAAAGATCAAAAACCCCAGCCGAAGATTGGGAAAACAGGTGGTAACTCAAGTTTTTACAAAATGATTTAAGCTCTCCATCCTGTTCTGTCAAAATGTCTCTTCTTTCTCTATCCCCTAATAGCTGTGCCAGCAGTCAGTGCTGCTGTTGAGTTTAGATGGCAGTCCAGGGCCAGACAGCTCCCTCGCAGACCGCCGCTGCCCGCAGCCTGGCTCGGTTACAGTGCGGCCTGCCGGCAGCTGCAGCCTCAGTGCAGGGTGTGGGCCGAGGTGACTGGCCGCGCATCCCAGAGCGGTGGGTCGTGTTTACAGCTTTGCTCTGGGCTCCCGCTCCCTGGGTCTGCCTGCGCAGAGTTGCCGCGCTTCCGTTGAGAAATGTGCTGTGGCCTGGAAGTACTGCTGGCTGTAAAATTAGGAAGTAGCGGGTGTGTGTATCTCACTAGAGAAGCCCTTGGACAGCAAGAACCACCATTGATCCTGGCTCTGACAGTGGCCAGAGACCTGCAGCCTACTCCTGGGTCCCTTCTGCCGTGAGGTTTGGGTAGCAGCGCGTTTACACTGCTGAATATGGCCGGCTTCTCTCCTGTGAGGATGTGCTTGCTCTCGTGTAAAAGATGGTTTCTCAGCTCACAGCCTGAGTCAGCCGAGTTTTCTTTCCAGGAACCACTTCTTGGGTAAATGTCCATGTTTCCCCACAGACCTGTGCGGCTGGTCAAGGCGGTGCTCAGGCCCACTGGGTGTCCCTTCCGGGCCGGTCCTCCCGCAGTGTGATCTCCCCGGCATCCACAGCCCACCCTCCTTTCCTGTCCCTGCTGTCCCCTCCCTCCGTTTCCCCCTCCCCCTCTGCCCTTCACCCCACACCTGCCCATCTGCGAATGTGGGCTGAAGGCTTTGGTGCAGTGCAGCATTTTCTCCCAGTGGCTGTGTTGAAGGATGTATTTTCTAAGGAGAATTCTGTCAGGAGACTGCATACCAACGCCATGAATTACTGCTTTGGACCATGTATAATCTTCCCCCACACCAAAATGTATGTCCTTTTACAGTGCTTAAGCACCTACTTCAAGGAGCCAGCCCTGACAGACCAAGGAGGAGTGTAAAAGATGCCCATTTTAATTGCGAGTGGCCTTCGGCCATCTCCCTGGTCCTGAAGCATCTTCTTCGAGGAAGGCTCTTAGAACGTTAGGCCTCTGATAAGCTTGCTGGCCCCTCTCCAAACACCCAGTCCACAGAGGAGCTGCTCCTGCCGAGTTCCAAAGAAGGCAGATCCTAGCCTGCTCCTCCACTGGTTTCCATGCTTCACCCCTTTGCTTTTCTCTGACAGACCCCCGGCCTTCTAACAGGTCCAGGCTCTCTGCCAAGTCTAGCATGCCTGTGGCTGGCTGCTTTTTCCCTCCAGGTTTCAGTAAGTTAACGGCTTCCCCCCAAAGGAGTCAGGCTTTGGCCTGACACCTCTTGATAGACCAAGAAGGTATTCATCTGGAACATATCAAATGTTCTGAAAGATCTGCTCTTCGCTCCGGTTTTCTCTGCGGTGTTTTTGTGAGGAAGTCTTTCCAAGAGATCACTTGAGTTGATGCTAATAATTCTCCCTAGTGGAATGTAGTTATTGATCGGTGGGCTGAACACCCTCCAGTTCCCCAGGGGCCTCCATTGTAGCCTGGTGATGCATCTGTAGCCTCTCTGCATGGTTTATGCTTGGAAAGGAGTGATTTTTGATTGGCTCGCCACTAGGGCATGGGACATGCATACCCCCTGAGATGCTGAGGGGGCGACAAGCAAGTGCGGGAGCAAGGGTCCTGTTGTGCTGCATGGTACCTGGTGGAGTCCCGGTGGCAGCCAGGCCAGTGGGGAAGGGGCTCGGGATAAAGTCAGTAGGGGTTAAGGGGTTAAAGTGCAGAAGAGCTACTCACTTCCAAGACTGCAAGCTCATTGAGAGGCATTGTTTGCGGTTTTGCAGTGGGCGGGGCCAGAGGGTCAGCTTTTTAGCATTTAAGATAATTACTACAAAAGTACCCCAGATTCCTGTACACACAAGGGGGTTTCTTGACGCCTTAAGCAGCTTTTGCAGATGCTAAATTGGATTTGTCTAGTCATGTGACCTCAGAAGTCAGACATACCTGCTCCGGAAACAAGTTTCCTTTGGGGGAGAGAATGTCTGTAAATGCCATTTGCTTTTCAGGTTAGGTTGGGATGCAGAAGGAGTTTTCAGTATTTTTTTAACGCTTATGATCATTGGAGAGTATTTATGTAAACATGTAAACGGGTGGCGGTTCTGATCAGGGTGATTTGATGTGTGGGATGGATTCTCTTGCTGGGATGCAAATATGTAAAATAAAGATTCTGTGATGGAAATGTGTGTGTGATTCTGTAGGGAGTCACTGGCTCCTGGCTGCTATCTCTGCTCCACCTCCTTCACATAGTTTTTTTCTTTGTGATTTTTGTTCATTAAATTAGTTAACTGCCTCCCACCTGCTCCCACTGATGACAGCAACACCTCTTGAGAAGTCCCATGTATCTTAGCAGGTCTGTGGCAGCTGCTATTGAAACTCAAATATGACTCCAGCTCCAGAAGCTAGGTTTTTGAACAGACTGAAAATCAACTGCAGTTTTCCTGCTGTCCTGTCTCCATTGGAGGCCGGAGCTCTTCTGAATCAGGACCTGGGCCCTGCTGCCATTTGAGGGGAGATGGCAGTGGAGACTTGGGGCAAAGCCCACCCTGTGACAGGTTTAAGTCCCCCCTCAAATAGCCCCTTGAGTTGGCCCACATCAGAGTCAGAAATCCAAAATTTTAGACTCAGTGCATTTTTAGAAGTCATCTAATTTCCAAATCCTTATTTTACTAGAACTATTTTAAATTGAGGTATAACTTAACATGGAGTAAAATGCACCCTTTTTAAATGTACAGTTGGATGGGTTCTGTCAAATGTCTATGCAGTGCTATAGCCTCCACCGCACCGTGATGGAAATGGAACCTTCATCACTCTGTAACGTTCCTGTGCGCCCCCTCTCAGTCATTGCTCCCCCTTTTCCAAAGCTACCGCATCCGCTGCTCTGATTGCTACACCATAGGTTAGTTGGCCTCTTCAGAAAGTCACATGAATGGAATGCCCTCTTTTGTGTCTGGTTTCTTCCCCACAGAATACTGTTTGCGATTTATTCATCTAAATCTCTGGCTTTAAAGCTACAAAAATGGGGGCCTAGAGGAGGCTTTGGCCCTACCCCCACCCTGTCATGCAGCCGAGTGTCAGAGCTGAGACTGGAAGCCATGGAGCCCGATCCGCCCTTGCTGGCCTTGAGGATGAAGCCAAGGGCCTGCGCGGTGCAGAGGGACTCGTAGTCACTGCTGTGCTGTCCTAACGTTGGGACGATCCTCAGGTCACCATATCATAGACGTTTGAGATGAAAGGGGCCTTGGAATCTTAGTCACTGCTGTGCTGTCCTAACGTTGGGACGATCCTCAGGTCACCATATCATAGACGTTTGAGATGAAAGGGGCCTTGGAATCCGTGTCATTCGGCCGAGGTTTCCGGTTAGTGGCCATGCCTCCGCCACAGCTCCTGCTCCCGCTCCACAGGCCTCGGGTTTCCAGTGTCTGGAATGAGGCGTGAGGACGTCCGAGGGGGCGTTCTGAGGGCTGGGAGTCCAGGAGTCGGGCGGGATTCTGGGGAGGGGGATGTTGAGGCAGCTCCAGAAGGGGACAGCTGAGAAGAGGCATGGAGAGGACCCGGGGGACTAGCTCACCCAGTGGTTCTCAAACTGGAGCAGCAGCCAAGTCCTTGGAGGGCCCGGAGGGCCTGGCTCAGGAGGTCTGAAGCCTGAGAAGTCCTGTGGCTGCCACGCCCTCAGGGGCCGCCTCGGCTGGTCCCACCACACTTTGAGAACTCTGGTTAAGTCATTCAGCTGGCACACGTGCACACCCACCTCCCACAGGGCTCCTCACTGGTGGGGTTGCAGAGGCAGGCAGGGAGAGAGTGCAGACGGGGCCCTGGCTGAACTGCCGCACTTGATGGACGTTGGCTTCTGTGCTCCACAGTCGGGCTGGAGCTTTCGCAGTTAGAAATGCGGCCGCTGAGACCATGTGTGCGTTTCAGTGACCACGCAGCCTGCAGCTCAGGACACAGCTACCGATGGAAGGCCTGTGCTGTGAGTCTGACTGCCACGGCTCCCTGGCCCTCTGGTTTCTCTGTGCTAATGAAACAGCAGGGCAGGCCAAGGCAGTGCTGACGCCTGACCCAGGGCCTCCTCTCTGAGAGCTGCCTGCCGCCTCCTGGGCCCAAGCCCCTCGTTAAGTCCTGCCAGAGCCCCCAGGTGCCCTGTCCTAACCCAGGACCCTGCTAGATCGCCTGAAGGATAGCTGCACATTCCCTAATAGCGTCAGGCCAGAGGTAGAGAGAGGCAAGGGCCGAGCTCCACAGGCCTGGCCATGGGCTCATTTCCCTCCACAGATGGGGTGTTGCTTAGTTCCCACACCAAACAAGTGGGTGCAGCAACCTGAGGACAGGCTTTAGGGCTCAGCATGGCC